AAGGAACAAATAAGAAACGTTTATCAATCTGACACGTTACAAATCCCACAATTTTGTTCTTTCATCCCGACCGAGGGACGTCAGCTTAGCAGTAAAAAGCATTAACGGTTTAATATTGAAAATCTCACGCAAGCATACACAAAGACACACGCATATTTCTTAAGTTCTGATCTTATGAAGCCAACCTAAAGATGTCGAAATGCGTAATCAAATCAATAAAACAGTTTTCTATTTGTCAAATCTATCTATCTATCTATCTATCTATCTATCTATCTATCTATCTCGATCTGTTTATATCTAGCTATCTATCTATCTCTCGCAAAAACAGATACTGGACTTGAGAAAACTATTTTTCTGAAAAATTGATTTAAGAGAGAGATTTTATAAATTTCAATTGAAAGCAGTATTGGTTGCACCGTTAATAAATGCCAAATGTTTCCTTATAGGGAAACGGCTCATATTACTATTACTATTACCATTATCATCTTTTACCTACTTAACTACCTATCTAGATCTATCTATCTATCTATCTATCTATCTCAATGCATGCATCTGTCAAGACCCTTTCGTCTGTTTGAGTTATGCTACTAGAATAGAAAAAGTAGTGTGTTGCTTTAAGCGCCATCTTTTTACCTCGTCAACGATTAAGTTTCATAATACAGGATCCTGATTATATTTGCAGACGAATCAAACGCAACCTTTTTTTATCCTGATTAATTTTACATCTTTGTCGTTGTCCTTTCTGTCCTCAAATTTATATCTATCTATCTATCTATCTATCTATCTATCTATCTATCTATCTATCTATCTATGTCATTTTGTTTATCTATCTATCTATCTATCTATCTATCTATCTATCTATCTATCTATCTATCAGTCTGTTCACTTGTTATCTATCTATCTATCTATCTATCTATCTAATAGACATTCCGTTTCTCTATAGATTTCTACCATTCCAATTATTCACCCATCTATCATCGCATTTTCTTATCTATTTATTTAATAGACATTGCGTCTGTTCCTCTAAATCTACCTCTCCATTTGTACATCACCGCTCATTCTATCTATCTATCTATCTATCTATCTATCTATCTATCTATCTATCTATCCTGAACTATTCAAAATCTATCTATCTATCTATCTATCTATCTATCTATCTATCTATCTATCTATCTCATTCTGTTCATATCTATCTATCTATGTCTATTTCTATCTATCTATCTCATTCTGTTTATATCTATCTATCTATCTATCTATCTATCTATCTATCTATCTATCTATCTATCTATCTATCTTACTCTGTTCATATCTATCTATCTATGTATCTATCCTAGCCTGTTCACATCTATCTATGATCATATTTATTTTTCTTCATATAATTTATTATTTAATGTTTATATTCTTCTATCTATCACTGACTCACTCCCCATCTCTCTAAAAATAATGAGGAAAAAAAAAACCTTTAAAATCGATAGTCAGTGATAAATTTATTTCGATGAATATAAGCATATTCATCTCATCAGACTGACTTAATTTTATGAAATGGAATTAAGATATTCCAGACCGACAGATATACAAAGATCAAAAATGAAAAAAAAGCATATATATATATATATATATATATATATTTCTAGCTAGCTGTTCAAACCAGTCTATTTTCATTCTATCTAATTTCAATATCAGTATATCTATTTTCCTACCTTTATTCATCTTTATCCATCTTCATATCAGGAGATATATTTATCGATTTATATATCAGTTTATTTTCTACCTATGTTCATATCTCTATCTATTCATCAGTACATATATCTATCTATCTATCTATCTATCTATCTATATATATATATATATATATATATATATATATATATACACACACACATATATATCCATATGTGTATAATATATTTATATATCTAGCTAGCTAGCTAGATATGTTCATATACTATTTCCTTTCTATGTACTTGCATATCAGTTTATTTTTCGACCTTTGTTCATATCTATCTATCTTTCTATATTCATATTATTACATCTATCTATCTATTTACATATCTATCTATCTATTTTTCTACCTTTGTTTTTATCTCTATCTATCTTCATATCAGTACATCTATCTATCTATCTATCTATCTATCTATCTATCTATTCATGTTTATGCGTTTATATATAGCTATTCAATTTTATATCAGTTTATTTTCTACCTATCCTCATATCTATCTATCTATCTTGGACTGTTCATAATAATCTATCTATCTATATATATATATATATATATATATATATATATATATCCTGAACTGTTCATATCTATCTATCTATCTATCTATCTATCTATCTTGGACTGTTCATATCTATCTATCTATCTATCTATCTATCTATCTATCTATCTATCTATCTCTTCATATTTACGATTTCTTTCCGTTTTATTTTTATTTTCATTATTTTTTTTTATTTTTATTCGCTTCTTTTCTCCACTCTCTCATTTTTTGCCCGCTTTTCCGTCTCTCTTTATTCCATATTAATAAATACACATTTCATTATATTCTTTCTATTGTCGAAATAATTATGGCGCTTATCATTCCAAAATATTATTAATTTTTCCACTTCACATATTATTATTATTACTATTATTATTTGTAATAGTAGTAGTATTATTAGTAGTAGTAGTTGTAGTAGTAGTAGCAACATTTCTCTTGCTTTTTATCGAGTACAATCCTTTATAGTCCTTATGGGATCATTACCCGGGAGCTTGGTTAAGGTAAGTCAAGTTGGTAAATGTATGTCTTCTGATGGTAAGTAATACTTAAGTACAGTGCTTATATTGTCGTTACATTGAAAATATGCGTATAAGTAATTGGGCTATCCCACACAATGTATTATTATTATTATTATTATTATTGTCACAGTCATATTAATTATTATCTATGTGACAATAGTGCACTCTTTCAAATACGAAGCACAAACTTGCGAACTGTTTAGCACTTGGTTTTCCGCCTTGTGATTGGACAATATTATTATGACGTCACGTGGTATCGTTACAGGTTCTGCTTTCAAAACTCTTCCTTCATGGTTACTGCATTTCTAGTGCTTTTTTTTTTATGTAACTACGCACTTTAATATTATATCCTGTTTACTTTCTACTACATAAAAGCCGAACCTCTTGGAACATCCTATCAAATTCACGTGCGTGGACACAGAGAAGGAGAGAGCGAGAGAGGATTAGCCATTTGTATTTTCAGACAGGAATTTGACTCAGTAGTAAATATTAACTCATTTGCGTTCGAACCCAAATTCCTGAACCAAATGCACTTGTGCTGGTCGGCGAGTAAAATGGAGTCGTTGAGCCGACTTCAGATTCCAGCCGGGTGTCTTACGTCCAGTTTCGCATAAATATCATTGGAAAAGATAAAGTACATTTTTTCATCTCCCCGCCACGGGTTAAATAGCTAGGCAAATTAGCCTCGACAGCTTTAGGCGGTAACCAACTTAGAAAGAAAACTCCCAATGATACCTTTGGGAAAGATTAGAATACGTCTTGTCACCTCCCCGACAAGAGTGATATAGATAGATAGACTAGGTTCAACAGCCTTAGTCGGTAACCAACTTAGAAAGAAAACGTTTAATTCCCAACATATTTGTTCACTTTCGCATATATACCTTTGGGAAAGATCAGAATATATCTTGTCAACTCCCCGACAAGGGTTAAATAGTTAGGCAGACTGGACTCAACAGCCTTAAGCGGTAACGTAAGAGAAAGAAAATGCTGAATTCCCCAAACATAACGAGGACATCGCGATACCACTCCACAGTATTTTGACAGGAAAACATGGCAGTACAGGAAGAATGAAGAAAAATCAATCTGTAGAGAAATAAGATAGCTTTCATCTTAAAAGATCAAGTCATTTTCGAAAAATGAAAAAAAAAAAAAAACAATTTTCAAAGGCAGTAACAGCGCTTTTACAAAGTGTGTTTACAATTCTTGATTATTTTTACAGTAAGTTTCACCCTGTACAAGGCCCGTGTGCCACTCGAGGTGGAGTGTTACGTTAAGGTGTACTTTATATAGATAGATGATAAATGTTAACTCTAGATTTGAACAGGTTAAGATTGCAGCAATTCGGGAAACACCATCTTGGGAATTGGTTCCACAGGAGAGTGGTTCGCGGAAAGAAACTGTTCGATTGGAACTTACTTCTCGCCGATGGAATACGGGGGAAATGTGGGAGGTTTGCTACTTTGTAAGCGGCATGACGGGTCCTAGCCTTGATGATTAAAGCTGGCGGAACCAAGGAATGTAGTTCGTCCGAGGACTTTTCATGGAAGAAGCAAGAAAGCAGTGAGAGACTTGCCACATCCTGCCCGTGTTGAGAGAAGTTGTAGGGTGGGAAATAATTCTTCTCCAACAAGGACACGGAGACGTTTTTGAACTTTATCAAGACTAGAAAAATGAAGACTGGGCCACTCCTTCCCAAGTATGGTTAAACTCTTCCATATTTCTATGTATATCTATAAAATTACTAAGACAAAAGAGTGAAAGAGTCAGTAAAGACAGGTGATATAATAATCGAGATAGTTTGCGAGACAAGACTAACATTTTCTACAAAACTCAAATGCAGAGAAAGAATCAAAACGAAATAAACAACTTAGAAACATTAAATAAAGAAAAAAAAAGTAAAACAAAACTCATTGTTAAAAATCGACAAAAAACAAGAAAATTAAATTAATGTCCCTTATTTATTATAAAAAATTTGTAACTTATATTGAACCTTATTGTCAAAAAAAATAAGAATTCATCTGCAAAATCCAAACAACAGAGAACCAAACAACAGATTATTTACGAATTTACATGTCCCTTAAAGAGCTTTGTTTCTTACCAATCCAAATTTGTAAATAATTATATTGGATATACTACAACATGCCTAACAAGAATACTTATGTTACATCTCTCTGACCATAGGTCAATGAAGAGACGTACAAATACATCTGTAACATTACTTTTTGATAATTCTTATCCACAATCGTTGATATCCTTATCCACATGTAAAAAAAAGGTTAAAAATAATGGAATCATTATTAATTTTTAAGAAAAGCCAACACTCAATAATATCAACTATAAACATGGCTACAGTGTGGTGAGTCTGTTTGGTAAATGAAATTCTTGATACATGCATAAAACAACTCACATATTCAGATAAATGCAAAATTCATAATAAAATTCATCCTTGATAATGGCTACAAGGATAGTCGAAAGCGCTTGGTAAACATTCAGACAATTTTTATATAAATTATGTTCTGAAAAAAAAAAATTACACGAACATATGAGAAATTATATAAAAACTCAACCACTGCATCTTGTCAGTCGTTTTCGACGAAATTTGCATATATATATATATATATATATATATATATATATATATAGAGAGAGAGAGAGAGAGAGAGATAGATATCGATATAGATATAGATATGTGTGTGTGTGTGTGTGTGTGTGTGTGTGTGTGTGTGTGTGTGTGTGTGTGTTTTGTGTGTGATTATATAGTTGATATATACATCGGATCTAGTGGAAGAGTGTGTGTATGTGTATGTATAAATATCAGGTCATCCCATAAGTTCTGTCCGAATTTTGAATAAAGAAAACAAGTGACTAAATGTTACATTTAATTACAGATTCAATCAACAATGTATTTTCCCTGATTATCTATGACTTCCTTGCATCTATTAACAAGCTTACTAATTCCATTACTGTAAAATTCTTTTGGCTTTGATTCGAAGAACTCACAAATGTCAGTTTTAACCTCTTCCTGTGTTACAAAAGCTGTTTCTTCCAAATTAATTTTATTGTTCTCTGAAATAAAATTTGATCAGTTTAAATGCATCTAAACATAAAATAATGTTCGGCTCCATTAGACGTTATAAAATACTCTTTAAATTTAGTTCATTTTAACAAAACGTTAAAATGCGGACAGAACTTATGGGATGACCTGATAGATGTTTTATATACATATACATACATACATATATATATATATATATATATATATATATATATATATATATATATATATATTTGTTTTTGTTTTGTATATATATATTTGTTTTATATATATATATTTGGTTTGTTCAGCGAATCTATCAAATAGAGCTCAACAACTTATATTTTCTGCAAGTCTGGTCTTCCAACTTGATCTTGAGCACATTTAATGCATACGATGTTAATAAATATTTTACTGTTTGCTTACTACGACGTATATATATATATATATATATATATATATATATATATATATATATATATATTAATAAAAAAAAGGAAAACTCATCTTAGCCGACGTGATTTGTTCTACAATGGACTTTATCCAGTCAAATGTAAGAATTATATTTTGAAACAAGCATTTCTAAACAAAAGTAAAAATATTAGTTTGCCGAAATTTTAGATATAAGAAACGCTCATAAATATTCATCACGTTAACGTTTTTTATTCATATTCTCATTTTACATATAAAATATATTTTATATATATTTTGTTTTTTCATATTGTCCTTTGACATATAAATTTTTTTTCCCTTTTGTTTTTTTCATATTGTCCTTTTACATATATATATATATATATATATATATTTCCTTTTGTTTTTATTCAGATTGTCCTTTTATATATAAAATATTTTTCATATATATATATTTTAGTTACATCTGAAATGATACACACACACACATATATAATTTATATATATATTATTTATATTTATATATTATGTATATATATATATATAATTTATATATGTTATTCCATCTATATATTGGAGTTTTCGGCTCTTGTTTCGAAACATTAGACCTTTTATGTCGCGAGTTGGAATCATATTTTTAAATAAATAATTTTATATATATATATATATATATATATATATATATATAATTTATATATATAATGTCATCCGCATACAGGCCTGTTTCGCTCTATCACAGCTCATCAATGCGGCTTGACATCCGATTGGATCGAAACCTGGATTTTCTACCCCTGTGCTATCAGCGTACGACAGAGGGAAAGTGGAAATTTTATTTATACTGTTTTAATACTCTCACTATTTTAAAAACAATTTAATGATTAAAATAACTAATAATTATTTAATACAAATGCAATCATTTTTTCCACATCTTTGTTTTTATTTATACACAAATCCAGTTTCCACTGTGCGAAAACTATAAACAAATCACAAGGACAAACGCTTTAAAAAGTTCGAATTTGGCAATTTTTTGCGCTTATCACTAAGTATCTTAATCTTTCTAATATTTCTAGCAACAAAAATCTATATATAAAATTCTGTGACTTCCGTTAGTCTGTCTGTCTGTCTGTCTGTCTGTCACACCCGCTAAAACAGTCATATATTGACAGATCGAAACCAAATTTTGGAGAGAGTGCAAACAGGTAAGGAAGTACAAAGCCTAGTTAGTTTTACTAGAGTCCGTAGCTTAGTACAAGAAATTTTCATTGAGTTTTTTGAAAAA